GACATGGAAGTTGAACTAGGTGTTTGTCAGTGGAACTGGCCACAGGAGGACTCAACCAGATGCAGGTACACTGGCACCTGCAGGTCTAGTCCTCAGACTCTCCCCCTCAAGAGCTGTTCTAGAACAACCCAACACTGGAAACTCCATGAGAGCTGTCAGTGAACCCTCTTTTTATTTATTTGTTTGTTTGTTTATTATTTTATGTGCATTGGTGTTTTGCCTGCATGTATGTCTATGTGAGGGTGTCAGATCCCCTGGAACTGGAGCCACAGACAGCTGTGAATTGGCATGTTGGTGCTGGGACTTGAACCCTGGTCATCTGGAAGAGCAGCCAGTGCTCTTAACCACTGAGCCATCTCTCTAGTCCCCTCAGTGAACACTTTTTTTTTATTTAAGAAATATTTGTATTCATTTTACATACCAACCACAGATCTCCCTCTCATCCCTCCTCCCATCCCCTCCAGCTGCCCTCCCCCATCCCCTCCTTTAAAAGGGTAAGGCCTCCCATGGGGAGTCAGCAAAGCCTGGTACATTAAGTTCCCCCATGGGGTAATAGAAGTTTATGGATGGGCCCTGCAAGTACCCTAGTTGCAAGTCCCCCCCCCACCACACACACATCAAGGCTGAACAAAGTGTCCCACTATAGGTAATGCGCTCCAAAAAGCCAGCTCATGCAGGAGGGATAGATCCTGATCCTACTGCCGGGGGCCCCTCAAACAGGGATAGATCCTGATCCTACTCCCGGGGGCCCCTCAAACAGGGATAGATCCTGATCCTACTGCCGGGGGCCCCTCAAACAGGGAGAGATCCTGATCCTACTGCCGGGGGCCCCTCAAACAGGGAGAGATCCTGATCCTACTGCCGGGGGCTCCTCAAACAGGGAGAGATCCTGATCCTACTGCCGGGGGCTCCTCAAACAGGGAGAGATCCTGATCCTACTGCCGGGGGCCCCTCAAACAGGGATAGATCCTGATCCTACTGCCGGGGGCCCCTCAAACAGGGAGAGATCCTGATCCTACTGCCGGGGGTCCCTCAAACAGGGAGAGATCCTGATCCTACTGCTGGGGGCTCCTCAAACAGGGAGAGATCCTGATCCTACTGCCGGGGGCCCCTCAAACAGGGATAGATCCTGATCCTACTGCCGGGGGCTCCTCAAACAGACCAAGCTACACAACTTTTGCTCATATGCAGAGGGTCTAGTCTGGTCCCATTCAATGAACACTCTTGAGGATTCAAATGCAGTCTTTAAAAAAAATGATTTGGTTTATTATTTTAACTATGTGTAGATGTTTGTGTCCGTGTGTGTGTATGTACACATGAGTGTAGGAGTTTGCAGTGGCCAGAGGCATCTATCCGATCTCCTGGCGCTGGAATTACAGCTTGTAAACCACCTTACGTGGATGCTGGGAACTGAACTCAGGTCCTCAACAACAATAGTACAGGCTCTTAACCATTGTGTCATCCTTCCAGGCCCTCAGATGAAGTGTTTAAACTGGGTACTTGACAGCATTTCCTTGTTTAAAATCTAAGTCATTCTCTCAAAGGAAGACCCTGGTGGCAACCTCTTCCTTGGATGGTGGGAATGGGGGGCTGTGATAGCTGCTCACTGCTGCTGCCCTAGGGGGAAGGCAGGAGGAACTGAGGTTTTATGGGGATCTTTCCTGGCCCTTGGCCACATCACTGCAGCTGCTGGATGTGGGCAGAGGAGGAAGACACCGCCGTGCAGTGTGCCCATGTGTCATGCTGGGCTTGTTCAATTCTACTAACATTCTGTTCCTAAAATCCAGGGACAAAGACTTCAAGGAGGCTCTCCATCCTTCACCCACGATGAGCCATTTTCCCATGTCCTTCTTCAACTCCCAATTTCTATTTTGGAAATGTGTGGCTCAACAATGATGCAGAAATCCTAATGTGGTAGGAAAAAGGGACTTGAAGAATTAAAAAAAAAAAGTGTGTGTGTGTGTGTGTGTGTGTGTGTGTGTGTGTGTGTGTGTGTGTGTTTTGTTTGTTTCTTTTTTGTATTTTTCAAGACAGAGATTCTCTGTGTAACAGTTCTGGCTGTTCTGGAACTTGCTTTGTAGACCAGGCTGGCCTCAAACTCAAAGAGATCTACCTGTTTCTGCCTCTGGAGTGCTGGAATTAAAGGCATGCACCACCACTGCCCAGCTAAAAAAATGTTCTATGTTCATGGTCTAGCCTAGACACAAGTACCCCAGAGCTGCTGTGTCATCTTGCGTGAGTGATCACCCCTTTCTGTGCCTTAGATTTCCGCCCTGAAGTTGGGCTTGCAGGGGGCTCTTGGTCTTGCTTGGGTTTACTGATGTTTGAAACAGACCATTCTGAGGGCTGAGAGGCTATTCTGGGCACTGTACAAGATTTAGAAGCATCCTTGGTCACTCCCAGAAGACCCAAATGCACCCGCTTCAAGCAGAAATGTCTCCAGACATTGGCAAGTGTTCCTTGCAGTACAGAATCTCTTCTCCCAGTGGGCAGGTGATGTGTCTCCCATTTAATAGTTATGAAATTTAAAAGAATGCCTTCCTTTTATTTCTTCCACATTCTCTCTCTCTCTCTCTCTCTCTCTCTCTCTCTCTCTCTCTCTCTCTCTCCATCTTCGAACTTGATTCTTCTATGGTGAGCAGGTGGTAATGAGGTGAGGCCAGGCCTTCTGGTCATGTGTTCAATGGTGGTGTGCTCTTGTGTGATAAAGGCCTGAGCTCAAACCTATTCCTCACTTGGGAAGAGGGTGACACAGGTTCATTTTATACAAAGAACATCTGGAGCCCAAATGAGGCCAGATACCATGTAGGATCCCAAGAAGGGGCTTGGGACACATAGAGGTTAGTACTGTCACAAAAAATTTACTTCTAAGTGAGCATGCCTCAAAAAGTTTGGGAGTAGGAAGGCAGAAGAGAGAGGTACCAAAAGATGTCCACCAGGGGCAGAGAGACTGGTCAGCTGTTCCCCAAACTCTTTTCTCCTCCTATAGATTACATTCCTGCTGTGGTAGTTGAAATGAAAATGCCTCCCCCACAAGCTCATAGGGAGCGGCATTATTGAAGGTGTGGCCTTGTTGGAGGGGGTGTAGACCTGTTGGAGGAAGTATGTCACAGGGGGATGGGCTTTGAGGTTTCAGAAGCTCAAGCCAAGCCCAGTGCCACTCTCTCTTCCTGCTGCCTGCCAATCCAGATGTAGAACTCTCAGCTACCTCTCCAGCACCATATCTACCTGCATGCCGCCATGCTTCCCACCATGACAATGGACTAAACATCTGAAACTGTAAGCAAGCCCCAATTAAATGTTTTCCTTTATGAGAGTGCTGGGTGGTGGCGGCGCATGCCTTTAATCCCAGCACTCAGGAGGCAGAGACAGGTAGATCTCTGAGTTCAAGGCCAGATTCCAGGACAGCCAGGACCACACAGAGAAACCCTGTCTCCAAAACCCAAAAAACAAAAGCAAAAAGAAAAAGAAAAAAAAAAAAAGAGTTACTGTGGTCATGGCATCTATTCACAGCAGTAACCCTAAGACAACTACTTTCTCTTGGATGTATTGATGATGTTATTGAGTTCTGGCTGATGGAGTGTGGACAGCTGGTCACAACTTCCTGGTCCAATAAAACTCAAATCATCTACTCTCATCTTCCACCTGCCTCAGGGGATCCTCCACAGCCTGGGCCTCTGAGTGTCTACTCTGACAGCGTAGACCAGGGTCTGCTCCACACTCCACTGGGTGCACTTAGTATGAGAAATGATGTTCTTTCATCTTCAGCATTTACACTGGGGGCTGTTGAGTGTGTGGTCGGCCTACTCTTAAGTAACAGCAAAGGCTAGAATGGTGGCTACTGAGGTGGCCTACGGCTAGGCTATGAGTGTTTACTTTTCCTTCTTCCATAAATAAATGTCTGTGTGTGGGAGTGGTGGTTTACATGTGTGTGCGTATGCATGGAGACCATCTGCGGGAACCCTGTCCTCCTCCTCTGAGGCATGGTCTCTCATTGACCTTGGAGGTCATCTGATTAGCCAGACAGAGCACCAGAGATCCTCCTGTCTCTGCCTTCCCAACCCTGGGATTGTCAGTGGCCCCCACCTTAGACTTGGGGTTTTTAAGTGGGTGCTGAGGATCGAACGCAGGTCCTCATGCTTGCAAAGCACTCTACTGACTGAGCCGTCCCCCTACCTGCAGCCCTGGAGCTTATTTTCACTAAGGAACGACAACATTGATTTCTGTGTTGGTTCTAACAGACCTAGCTCTGCAAGTTATCAGAGGCAGCGATTTTAGCTGAACTAAACACGTGACCACGTGACTGCGGGAGGTGGTGGCAGGTCCCTAAATGCAGCCCTGGCACGGGAGTCGGCCCAGGAGGGCTGGACAGCTTCTGCTGAGCCAGGGTTTCCTCCAGGCTAAGAATAAACCGTAGACATGGGCCTTTTGGCACAAGGTGCCAGCTCCAGGCAGAACTGGCTCCAGGCTGGCAGCACAGCTGGTCTTCAGCCTGGTCACTGGTGGAACCCAGCAAAAGCCCGAACTCCCCAGGCTGTGGGTCCTGGTGGCTCAGCAGACCTGGGGACATACTTTTGTAAGAGGACTAAGAAACCAGAACACAGTGCTGTCCCCACACCTCTGTCCCAGCTTGTCTAAACTCATCGCCCTGGTTTCTTAGCCCTCTTTCTTCTGCCTCAGAAGGGTGCCTAGGAAAACAGGTGTCTCTGGGTTTGCTGATTTCCCACGGCTCAGGGAGTTCAGGCTTTTGCCAAGTCCCACCAGTGTCTTGCTCAGCTGCTCCGAGCTTATCCATGGAAAAGCGTCTTAGTGGTACCTTCTCCAGAGGTCAAAGCCCAACTTGGTCCTCAGAGTCAAGCCAGAGTCTTGTCCACATGGTGTCTGCCCTTACCCTGTCACCCTCCTTCTCTTGGATGCCCCACACAATTCCTACACCTGGGATACCAGACCCCTGTGAGGACCCCAGGGAAGCACTCCCCCACCTACCATATCAAAAAGAGAACATTTTAAAAATGTTTTTATTTAATTAAAAAAAAGAGAGAGACAGAACTAAGAACCCCAAACCACTGGTGGGTACAGGATCACAGGGACTTAACTGGTGAGACACACAGGGGAGGAGACGGGACAGAGGAGGGAAGATGGGCTCAGGCCTCACGTCCCTTCAGAGAAGGAGCCAGATCCGAGCCTGTCAGCGGAACGGTCCAGCTCTACTCCCTTTCCCACAGGAAGGGCAAGCTAGTGACCAGGGTCCCCAGAGTGAGGCCAACAGTCAGTGGGAGAAAGGCTGTGAGGGCTGGGGCAGCTGAGGCTTTTCTCCGTGTTCTACCCTGCCTCTTCTTCCTTTTCCTTCTGGCTCTCTCTTGTGCCCACAGTGGGCCTGTGTACTCTGCCTAGGACTGGACAAGAGGTAGGATTCATCGGAACACAGCTTTCTCATGTGGAACCGTGGAAACTTCTGGAACTACAGTTGGGAAGATGACTTGTGTGCAAGTTTACCATAGGCTGCTTTATTTCCAGAAGAGACATGAGACAGATCTCGGGTCTCCCTGGGGGTCGGGGCTTCCTTCAGCCTCCAAAGATGTTAGTGGTGGTAGAGGAGGGGTGGGAGAGGTGGGCAGGGTGAGGGCCTGTGGCAGGGACAGACCACACATCTTGACACTGGTGCTCACTGCTGTGCATGCTTTGACACACTCTGAGGAGCCAACTTGGTCTGGAGGGGATGGTTCTGAGCAAGAACGAAGGAGCCCCAACATGCTCACATCTCAGCTCACCAGCTCATGGGCAGTTGGCTGGAGCTACGACATGGGATGTCTTTCTTTAGAGAGTGGGCGTGTGTGTGTGTGTGTGTGGGGGGGGGGAGGGAATGAAGGGCAGGCAGGGAAGGGCAAATGGACCTGGGTCTGAACTCCGAGTCAGCCTAGGGGGCTCCATGAGCAGGTGACTGAGGTAAGAACTTCTAGGTGAGACAGTTACTGGGGTCACAGAAGACTGTTCAAGATTGGATTAAGAAGTCTCAAAAAGTAAGAAACAATTGATCCTTAGAAAGCACGCGTATTATAGAAAAGGGGGTAAGTTCCACTTTCTGGAGAGTTCTTTCTAATCTGGACACACTCACATGGTGTTTGCTCACCTCGAGAGGGAAAGGGGGAACGGCTGGACAAACTGTAAAACACAGAACTCATCCTCAGATTCAGGCAAAGTGAGAAAGCCCAGGACGGCCCCTTGAGTCAAATGTCCACAGAGTCCTTTGGGTGTCGGCAGAATAAATTAGGACAGGAGTCGGGGGAGACGCCATTGCTACTTTTTAGGATGAGGAGTTGAGCGTGGCTTGCTCTGCTGCTGCTGCTGATTCTCAGTGCGCCACCATTCAGAACCACTTGGAAACGGATGCTCTTTCTTTGTTCTTTTCCGGCTCCGCTCACCCTCGGGTTCCCCTTTCTCATACTGAAGTTTGCACATCTGTCACGGAACACCAGTTTGGAAGTGGGAGTATGGCTCCGCCCCTAGCAGGGTCCCCTGTGGCTCAGGGGACAGTGTGGTTCCTCGGGCAAGTCGGGGAGGACACAGCAAGTGCCTACCTTTCCTCAGACCCATGGAATCCTCCAGATCTCCAAGTTGAGTGAGTACGCCCTGTCCATTCTGAGCTCGGCAGAAACTTCCGGAAGCCTTTGCCCTGGATCCCTGGTCTCCTGAGGTGGAGAGACGCCGGCCACAGGACAGCTCAAGGCCGAAGCACCAGTTAGCCATAGAGCTTTCTCTTTAGGACGGATGATGTTTACAACCACAGGCTCCACCAGGCTGCCAGACAGAGGCTGAAGGAGGGAGGCAGAGGGAGGGGAGTGGAGTGAGCTTCGGCTCATTCTGGGCTCCAGGACACAGGAACTTCCGGGTGGGAAACAGCTGATGGGAGCCCAGAGGTCCCAGTTCTGGAAGAAGCCTTCCTGTGGCCCTGTGCCCAGGGAAGGGGAAAAAGTTTGACATCTTCTGGCATGACTGGTTTCCTGGTTTCCAAGAGGCAGGCTGACGCAGCTTCTGGAAAATTCTTGGGCCTCCTGGGAAATTTCAGGACAGCAATACACCCTGTCTTGGGAGAAAGTTAGCCTTCAGTTTCTACCCTAGCCCTGATTTCAGTCTCCAGGCTCCCTTCACTCTTAGCCAGCCCATGGCATCGTTTGGAGGCCAGGGAGGGTTGCCCTTGGCTCCAGTTCACTGTCTATTATCTTAAGGGTCACCCTGCCGTGTGTCACACAAACAGCCACTCTGGGGGAGGCCGGTGCCGAGACGGGTGGGCAGGTCACACGGGAGTCGTCCGCCGGTTCAGCATGCTGACGTGGAAACCCTCCTTTAGGTCCTGCTGGAAGAAGTCGTGCATCTGCAGGAAGCCAGCATCCTGGTCCGGGCTGTAGCTGGCAGCTGTGGTTACCTTCAGGGGTTCCCTGGACAGCGTGTACATGGACAGCTCACCCATAGGAATGGCCCCAGTGATCTTCAGGCCCACGGGAGACGCATCCCTGGAGGGCGAGGCCTCAGTGGACCTTGAACTGGACCTGGACCGCCGTCGCCGGTACCTGTAGCTCGGCATCCTGGCGTACGGAGAGGAGGAAGAAGGCTTAAGGAATTCCCGCTTGGTCTTAAACCTCAACTCTTTGTTCTTCTCAATGTAAATGTTTACGGCCAGGACGCCCACGGTCTCCGCCACAATGAATGACAGGGCTCCAAAGTAAAAGGACCAGCCATAGTTGTAATGGTTCTTTTTGTCTTCGTCACGCTTGTCACTGGGGTCGCCTGTGTTGCTGGAGATGTAGACGATGATGCCTATGATGTTACTGAGGCCTGAAAGGGAGGTGGGGCGGGGAGAGACTAAAGGTCAGACTCACAGCATGAATGACGGGACAGAGGACAGGCTGCTGAATGTGGGATGGTGGCCGGTCTTCTCCCTGATACCTATTAATTATGGTAACTTACTTTTATTTTTCGAGAAAAAGTCTAATGTAGCCTAAGCTTGTCCTGAACTGAGGTAACTGAGGATGACCTTGAACTTCCAATTGATTTTCCACCTCCCAAGGGCTGGGATTACAGGCATGCACTACCACACCTGGCTTGGTAACTAATTTTCCTTCTTTCTACCCTCTTTTCATCCCTCCTTCCCTCCCTCCTTTTTTCCTTTTGATTGGGTCTCATGTAACCCAGGCTGGCTCAGACCTCCCTAAGTAGCCGAGGCTGGCTTTGAATTCTTGATCCTCGTTTAAAAAAATTATTTTATGTAAATGTGTATTGGTGTCTTGCATGCATGTATGTCTGTGCACTATGTGTCTGCCTGCAAAGGCCAGAAGAGGGCATCAGATCCTCTGGAAGAGGAGTTACAGATGGTAGTGAGCCGCCATGTGTGTGCTGGGCATCAAACTCCAGTCCTCTGCAAGAGAAGCCAGTGTGCTTAACCATGGCGCCATCTTTCCCAGTCCGGAACTCCTGATTCTTTTGCCTCCACCTCCCAGCTGGGATCGAGCTGTGCACCACCACAGCCAGCTTGGTGGCTACTTTTCCCTCAAGTCCTGTCCCCACCGGGTGTTTGTGAGAGATAAGTTCTACATTTCCCAGCAGAACCAGAAATCAGTGATGACCATGTCTCTTAGAACAGTGCAGCATTAACTATAACCCACCCAACCCCCAATATACTTCAGTTCATCTCTAGCTAGCTTGTGACAGCCAACACAATCCTATGCTAAGTAAATGGATGTTATTCTGTCTTTCTATTCCAGTCCCTCACCCGTCTTTACATGGCAAACTCCCTTGGGACTTGGCATCCCGGGAATCTCCAGGGTCTTTCCTGACATCCACCAACTCAGCCAGCTCCCGACCCTGTTACAGGTTTGGAAAGCACCAGAACCTAGTGCTTTGGTTGTACTTCACATACCCGACTGTCTGAGATGAGGTGAAATTCGCACACTATCAAATTAACTTTTCTGAAGGACACAATCCAGTGGCATTTAGTGCACTTGCAATGTGTGCAACCCTTCACAATGTGTGAAATCCCATTTGTAACACTGTCATCTCCTCCAAAGGAAACCCCGTAAAGCAGTCGCTCCCCATCCCCTGCCTCCGTCTTACACGTCTGTCCTCTTAATGCTAACCATGCACTGATTTCGGACTTCCCTCCCACCAGGGTGCACACTCCTGGCAGTGGAGACCACATGTTCAGGTGCGCCACTATCGCCTCAGCTCCTGTCCCTGAGGGGTAGCCCCCACTCACCTGCGGCCACAAAGAGGATGCCCGCACTGAGGACGATATTGTTCTTGCGGCTGTAGATCCTCCCAGCGCCGATGCAGAGCCCTCCAAGCAGGAGCAGAATGGTGCTGAGGATGGGGAAGACACTGGAGGCTCGCACGATGCCTAGGCCAGGGTAGGAACAAAGCAGAGAGGGCAGTGAGTCCAGCCATCCTCCCTGCCATGGCCATGGGCGTCTCTCCCAGGAGACCTGCTGTGGCCCTGGGTGCACGATGGCTCTAGGTTGGCTATTTACTCTTTCAGAAGAAGCCAAATGAACTATGGTCACACCTGCCTGCAGGTCACTGGGCCTCTTTCTGGGTGTAGGTAACACTTCTTTCAGGTGAGAGGGACTGGAGTCCCTCAGTGTCCCTGGAGAGGCCACACTAACAGTCACTAATGTTCTGGATGGCATGACATTCATGCAACAGCTCACAGCCCACTAAGTTCTCTCCTGAATGGTCCCATAGGTCCATCAGAAGGCTGGGAATGGTGTGCCCAAGAGCCAGCTTAGATCAATGGTCGGAGGAACAGGCTTTAGCACACTAAATGGGTCTGGGTGTCACCCTGCTCTGTGGCATGCTGTGTGTTCTTAGACAACTTGCTTCACTCTTCAAAAACTCACTTTCCCCACTTGTAACACATGGTACATTCCAAGTACCCATAAGGACCCTGTGTTTTCCTATACATATACACCCATGATAAAATTAACATTTAAAATTTTCATTTATTAGTATTGTCACGTGGGTGCATGTGCCACAGCCCCATGTGTGGAGGTCAGAGAACAATTCTGTGAACTCAGTTCTCTCCTGTCTTTATGTGGGCTCCATGATAGAACTCAGGTCACCAGGCTTACACACATAGCAAGAACCTTTATCGGGAGCCTTCTTGGCAGTCCGCGGTGATAAAATTTAATTGACAAATCAAATATAGAGAGGGACTGATAGTGGCTAATAATAAAATATAACCACTGGAACACACTATACTGTAATAAAAGTTACTTTTAAAGCCTATGGCTTCTTTATTTCTGGCACTTTCCATTTCATAAGTTTGAACTGTTGTTGACTAAAATCCCACAAAGTAAAGCCATGAATAAGGACTAAAATCTCACAAATTAAGACCATGGGTTAGTGGGGCCCCTGTGCTGTGATTGGTTTTTGTCTCTGTGAAGTGATAAGCACAAGGCCAGCTGCACCATGCACTTTCTAAGTGACTAGTTACGTCCAGCAAATCCCCACCGTGCCTACAGATGAAGATATCCAAGCTCACAACACGTGCAAGCCACAGAAGAGGCAGCAGGGCACTGTGAGACACTGTCTACCATGCTGGCCAGCAGAACCTTGTCTGAATCCTTGTCCTACCCATGACCAGCAGTGGGGGCAGGGCCAGGGAACCTCAATGACCACCCAAGTTCACTTTTTCATAACTTGGCCACAGTAGTGATACCACGCTGGAGGGCTTGACTGTGTCCTCTCCCTGTGGATGTGGCCTCCTCTGGAAAAAGGTATTACATATGTGTTTAGGGACCTTAGGGGCCTCAAGATGAGACCATCCTGAATGGACCAAGAGGTCCCTGAGTCCAGGGATAAGCATCTTAGACGACGGATAAGGTTATGAGGATGGAGTCAGAGGGCAGAGACGTGGTCAGGAAATTCTGGTGCTCCCTAACTGCAGTAGTGTCAGGGAAAGAGTCTCACTCCCTGAGCACGCGGAGGAGCAGAGTCCTGCCAAACGTGTCACCTTTTTGACTTCCAGCTGCCACCCAGGAGTCAATTTCTGTTGCTTTCAGTGACACGGTTCATGACGGTTTGCTATAGCCCCTTAGGAAGTGAACACCCACCAGAGCACATGGCAGGCTTCCGGTCTCCACCCTGAGCATCTGGGTAGATGGCAAGGAGGTCAGAGGAAGAGAACAAAGACATGGGAGATGATGCTCAGAGCTGGGCCTTCTCTGTGTCCTCACAGCTCTAGAGAAATCCAGTTACGTGGGCCTTGGTGGCGCCGGCAGAGGGCTGTGAGTCAGGAAGTGCGGGTAGGTGCCCCTCCTGAGCCAGCTGACTGGCTTGGGGCCTTGTAGCCTCTGAAGGCTGCGTTTGTCTCCTTTCTGTACGCCCACAGTGTGAGCCCTTGCTCCACAGAGAAGGGATTGTGTGGGGGCATTAAATGAAACGCCTTTCCCCAGCACTTCCTCCCGACTCCTCTTGGCTTTCTTGTAGCTGCAGGCTCTGGGAGGAGGCTTCCTGTGTGCTTCTGAAACAGGCCTCTGAGCTGAGATGGCCAGACTCAGGTCAAGACCCTGCCCTGCCTTCTGAAGACCGGTCAGGTGGTTCAGAGAGAAGGGTGTTCCAGTTCCTTCAAAGACGATGGGGGCCTGTGGCTCAGAGCCCTCCATCCAGGTGAGTCCTCCAAGGACCTGGCCCTTGCTTCAGTGCCTCGCTGAACATGTGACTGAGGGATGAGAGGCTAGAGTCAGTCATACCACATGACCACGTCAAGCCATGGGGATGATATATATCTGTCTGGAGGATGGGCCCTATCTTTTAACGTACTCCAGGCTCCACTGTGGACTCACAGACACCAGCACCGTGGCTTGGCAAGTCACCCTCCATCTAACTGGAAATCCTGAACCTAGGAGGGGGGGTGCCAGGCCTGGGGGCGAGACAGGCAGGGGTGATGGAGATATGACACTAGGTAAGACTCTGGAGGGTGTGAGGTGGTGACTCCTTCAAACCCCACGCTGTGAATATGCAATGCTTAGAACTGAATTGTATTGCAAAATAAATTAAAATAAATTAAAAAAAAAAGAAAAAAAATGCAAATCCAGATTCTCTGGGAGGCTTGGGAACTTGAGTATCAGGGGTGACTTGTTTCTCGAAGTTTCTAACACAGGGTGAGAGCTGCCTAGCCTCGGGCCTGCCGGGCTGCTGTCTCAGGAGGCTTTCCCTTGCCATAGAGCCTTCTGTGATCTCCAAACTCTCATGTTCTGCCACCAGATCAGCACCTGGAGGGCAGAGCTGTCTCATGACACGGTATCCCACTTGCTCAGGATGGTGACAGGCACAAGATACAGTCACGAGTTTCCGTTAAATGAATGAAGAAATAAATGAGATCATCACATGGGCCCCTAGAGACCACTCTCCTGGGCTCCTCTACAGTTTGGAAATAACAGTCTGGACAGAGACCAGAGGCTGAATACTGAGAATCAGGGAGACACAGGCCCAGTGGCTACAGGGACTATGACCTTCACAGGTCTCAGAGTTGTGTCTACAGCTGGCTTCAGGTTGCTCTATGTTCTGGGGAAATCAGCTTTCAGGGCCAAGTGTCCCTATCTCCACAGCCACTGAATGGACACACACTAGCTGATTAAGAAGTCATCTCTGCCCCCTACTTGCAAACTCACCATTAGCCAAAGCCTGCAGGCCTGGGGGCCATCTGTCATTCTTTCCCTGGGCACCTCTGGGCTTGTTACGAACCAGCAGGTCACCCTGGGGATCTGGTACATTTGAGAACACGTCCTTTGTGAGAGAGGCAACTGTCACACTGATACTATCTCTCTGAGACACTCCCAGTCCCCTGGGTACCAGGGGACACTGCTGGAGGGAGACCTGTAGCATCAGGGCCGGAGCTTCTGGTCACATGCTTTGTGTGACTCCAGATCCTTACTCTGTCCTTCTCTATCCCATCCTGGACCCCAGGAGGCTGACTGTGCGGACCAGACCACCAAGGCTCCCAACTCTGGCTTCTGGACGACAGTGCCACTGATGGAGTTCTTCCCAAGGCTTCTCTCTGCCAAGCTGCCAAGCGAAGCTGCTACATTCTGCCCTAAGGGTCACAGCTCTTGCCACTCAGCCCTGTCCTCCCAGCTCCCTTTCACGTGCTCTGCCTTGCAGAACCAGAAGGATGTCACTCACACGGTAATTTATGCAAGCAGCAGTCCTTGAGTGGTACACTGGGCAACCTCCACAGTGATCCACGGCCACTCTGAGGGGATCTCATTGACCTGGGAGAGTGTGGCCCCTAATATGTAGAATCAGGACAGGAAGATGAAAGAGGAGAAGATAAGGGAGGCGGATTGGAGGCAGGGCTCTGGCCATATTATTTCAGGTTCTGGGCCTGGCTGGAGCAGCCCGACATGGCCTCAGCTCCATGGGAACCGCACACTGTTCTATTTCATCAGATGACTCATAATCCAAATCCTTTCTTGTGGGGGAAGAAAAGAGCCATAATCAGGTGCACAGTGAATTGTACTCTCTCTAAGGACACACTGGTATCGATTCTCCATGTGTGAGGCTGAGCCTGAGCGCCAGGGGTGCTGTGAGAAGCAGCTCTTTGTGTCTTTTCGCTGACGGGGAAGGAGGAACGGCAGGCACTCTAGCATCCGTTTCTAGCCCCTCTCTGGCTGAGGCTCCCTGTGTTCTGGAGAAGAGGTGTTCAGAGGCGCCCAGGTGAACTCTGCATAGACTTCAGGAGCAGGGAAGTTCATCCTTTGGGGTTCGGCGTGTACTGCGGGTACCACCTGGGAGGCATCACTCAGTCACAGGATCAGCTGGGAGCAAGGGCTTAAGGGCAGAGCATAGGCAGAGGCAGTGGCCGCATTTGTCGGGGCGGAAGGGACTTAGGGCCACCTGTCAGGGCATACCCTGCCACCTCCATCACCATCCTCAGGGATGTCTAGCCCCTCAGGAAGCTGTCTTGGCTGGTGAGTTAATCCCTGCATCGTGTGCTTCGGATGCTCGTCAGGCCTGGGCAGAGCTTTTTTTAGCTTTTTCAAGACTGGGCCTCACAGAGCTCAGGCTGGCCTCAGATCCATTCCACAGCAGAGGAGGACCTTGGCCTCCTGAGTGCTGCGATTATTGGTGTGAACAATCAGAGAGCTCGTATCTTTTCTTTCTTTCTTCCTTTTTTTTTTTTGGTTTTTCGAGACAGGGTTTCTCTGTGTAGCTTTGCGCCTTTCCTGGAACTCACTTGGTAGCCCAGGCTGGCCTCGAACTCACAGAGATCCGCCTGGCTCTGCCTCCCGAGTGCTGGGATTAAAGGTGTGCGCCACCACCGCCCGGCCTTCCTTTTTTTTTTTTTTTTTTTTTTTTTTTTTTTTTTTAAATTTAACTTTATTCTATGCTCATTGGTGTGAGGGTGTCAGATCCCCTGGAACTGGAGTTACAGACAGTTGTGAGCTGCCACGTGGGTGCTGAGAAGCTGGGAACCGAACCCAGGTCCTCTGGAAGAGCAGCCAGTGCTCTTAGCCACTGAGCCATCTCTCCAGCCCCATCTTTTCTTTTTAAAAACTGGAGACAGGGGCTCATGTAAGCCTGGCCTCAAACTTACTATATAGCAGAGGGATGACCTCACATTCCTGACCCTCCCCAGCTCCCGAGTACTGAGATTACAGCACGTGCCACCAAGCTGGGTTTTAACGGTGCTGGGGATGGAACCCAGAGCTCTGCACACGCTAGGCAAGCACTCTATCAACTGAGCTCCATCCCCAGTGGAAGTCCCTATCTGTCACCTCCCTTGCCCCACCAGAGGTCCCTTGAAGCTGCACCCCACTGCTTGGGCCTCACTGTGTGTGGACCTGGGGCCTTGGCCATCCATCCATCCTGTGTACCCACCCATGCACACACAGGGCATCCACATGCCAGGGCACTGTTGGGCTAAACCCCACCTTCTGAGCTCAGGACTTCTGAATAAAAATGCTCACAGTCCCCAGGGCAAAGAGCTGGGGCCAAGTCCCCAGGGCTCACCTCTCTAGCCCCTCCCTTCCTTTCCCCTCCTCATACAAAGAGCTGGGGGTACTGGTCACTCACGGAGGAGGTACTCTGAGCTGTCATGGTCGTAATCATTGTCCTCTGGAAAGTGGTTGATCCTGAAACAGTGTCCTTTATAGATGCCTGGAAGAGACAAGGGAAAACAGGTTGTGAGTGTCCTGTGGGTTCACAGAACTATTCATTCCAGACATGGAAACTTTGGGCAGGTCACAGGGGCAGAGAGAGGGAAGAGAAGATACACACACAGAGAACAGCTGAACCTCAATCACAACCGTATCATTTTTGGTTGAGCCTTGACACCCTCAAGAATGAAACAACACACCGTTAGTCACTGTCGTACAGAAAGGCTCCAAACTGCAGGTGAGATCCCCAGACTCAAGGGGATTCTAGAGTTGCAGCTTGAAAAATGACCAGGAATTTGTTCCTGACGAATGAATGGGCAGAGGGCCTTCCAGGCAGAACAAGACTCATAAAGGCATAAGTCAGGTGGTACATATACAGTATGGTGCGAATCCCTTTCGCCGAATGCTGGGATGGACTCAAGACTCCACCCCCCTCCATCTGATTGATGGTAGAGAGCCGAGAAACTTCCAGAAGGGCTAAAAGGGTGGAAGAGCAGGATTCCCAGTTTGTTCAGTAACTGCAGGAGGACAGGGTAGTTCTCCCTTCCAGAGTCTTCCATCCATTTTCTCCCAATCGTCTGCTGCCCTGTAGCCTGGGAATGCCCATCACTAAACACCCCGGCCGAGAGGGAGTCACATGAGGGAGGGAGGAGTCATGTCACTTGGTGCCTGTGCCTGCCAACTCCTCATGCCTCGTCAGCCGCCCGACTCTTTCCGAGCTCTTCCTCCCCCACCCCATAACTGGTCAGAGCTGCTCTATTTCCAGCTGTAGCCAGTGCGTCCTCGCTTCTCGCAGCTGCTGCCAAGCATCCTGCTGGCCTCGAGCAGCCCAGCCTGACCTCACAGTGGGTGGGAGCAGTACTGGAGGCTGGGTGTGTGCCAGAGGCACATCTGTCTTCCCGTGTGTCCAACTAAGGGCTCCCTGCTGAGCCTTCCGGAAGCATGCCCTTTTCCTACCTGGCTACAAATGAGCGGCTGACCAGCTGTCCAACACCAAGCTCTCCCTCTGTCTCCCTTCAGCTGCTCCTCCAAAGACCTGTACGCACTGTAGCACCCCAGGTCAGAGGTGCAGATGACAGACTGAGGGTCTCAGAGGCAATACCTTGGGTGGGGTGTACTTTCACAGTATTTTCTGTGGGAACACAGTTAACTTGGAGTTTCCCCACCTACACATTTCAACAGCCTCAGCTCTCGCCTCCTAGGTCCCTTAGAACATGAGATGGTAGCAGCAAGGCACTGAGGTGGTTCTCGGCCTGTGGCGATGACTCAGAGGTATGCTGCTGCTGCCCTTGGAGTCTCCTGTCTTCTACTTCCTGTGTCCCTGAGCGGTTGAGTCAGGAACAAACGCAGGGGCTGGTGACGAGAGGGACAGACAGCTAGAATGGGTTGGTTCCGGGATGTCTGAGGGTTGGTAGCCTGGCAAAGGTTCGAATGGGCCAGCCACAGCCTTCACCTCATTCCCAGGACCTGCCACCTCAGATTAAAAAATGTTCCCACAGATCCAGAACCCGCCCTTTGTGGGGGGGGATGAGTGGAGGGAGCAGCGTTCCCAAGGGCTGCCACTGCCCACCCCAACACGTCTCTGTTGCTTTTTTTTTTTTTTTTTTTTGCCACTTCACGGGTCTGAAGAAATCACCAAGTCACACCTGCTTGTTGGAACAAGTCAAATAATAAGAGGTTGGAAAAGAAGAAAATAAGCTCTTAGAGCGACAATCCTGCGGCTGACTTCTCAGGTTTGTGGTCTGTCTTCCCACATCCTCCTACGCCTGTGCATACAGGTAGGGTTCTCCTCCAGTTTTAAGGGCTGCTGGGAGTTGATCCCAAGTCTTGCTCAGACAAAGCATATATTCTACTCCTGGACCCCAGTCTCTATTAAAAAAAAAAATCATAAAGTGGTAAAGTACTTGCCACTCAGGCAGAGACCTGAATTTGAGTTCCCATACCCGTGTAGAAAGCCAGGTGTGGGGGTGCTCTGTAACCTCAAGGTGTGGGCTGGGAAGGTGGGCAGGGAGAGGAAGATCCCGAGCACACCAGCCAACCAGCAAAGTCTAGACACAACCAGCAAGCTCCAGGCTCAGTGAGGAACCCTGTGTCAAAAAACAAGGTGGAGAAGGCTGGAGCGATGACCCAGCATGCAAGTGTGAGGACCAGAGTTCAGATCCCCAGAAAGGATGGAAAAGTCTGATAGGTAAGGAGGCCAGCCTGGAATCCCAGGTGGGATGTGCTTGGGAGGGGTGTGTGCGGGAGGGGTGGGGTGGGGGTGGGGTGGGGTGAGGGTGGGGTGGGGTGGGCAGATGCATGGGATTCAGAGCAGGTCAGTCAGACTTGCACAAATGGTGAGATCTGGCTCTGGCTAGAGACGGCCTCAATACATGTGGTAAGAACATGAAGGGAGACCCAACAGTAACTCAGTCCACATATACACACATACATGTGCACTCACACACATGAACACACACACACACACACACACACACACACATACACACACACACACACAAGTAAGCATGACAGTAAAACAGTTGAGAGACATCTCAAAGTCAACTTCTGGCTTCCACACATGCCCATACTGGTGAGCACTCACATGTACAACCACACCCACACACAGCTACACCCACACATACATAAAGAGGAAGAAGTAATAAAAAGACATGGGATGTTCTTTACTCGGTTTCCTTACCAAACTAGCATGATGTCACATCTAGGACGGTGACACGAACTTCATGTGATACAGAACCTTCTTCCATCAAAAGGATCTCTCCAGTCGCTCCCCAACACCCCCCCCCCCCCCCCGCTTTTTTAGCCACACACATTCCTGTCTACCCCAGTCTGTCCAGACCCCACAGCAGCTTCCACGGGGTTCCCAATCGCGGTAATTTTGCCCTTTAAAAACTGTTATACTTATGGGATCTAAGGCACGCTATGGTAGCTTTGGGGAGTGGCTTTTTGCACTCAGCACAATTCTCCTGAGGTTTATCTCCAGTTTGTGTGTTGGTGGCTTGTGCCTTCCATGGCTGGGCAGTGCTCCATGGCATGGAAATCTCATCCTCTGCTGAATCATGACCCACTGAAGGATGTCTGCTGCTTCCAGATGTTCCCAACAGGGCTGCTGTGGGTGTTTATGTTCAGGTCTTGGGAGAAAATATGTCTATTACCACTCTGGCACCAATGCCCAGGGGTGCAATTGTTGGGTCATGTGATAGCAACATGCTTAAGTTTTAAGAGAGACTGTCAAACTGGGCTCTGGTATGGCTGTAGTGCCCTGTGTTTAATGGAATATCAGAGACATAATCTATAGCCTGCTATTGCCACTGACCCGAGATCACCAACATCTCTCCACTCAAGAATTTCAGTATTGAGAAAATTTTAGTTTCTAATGAGAAAAATAGTAAGTCGCTATCCATCCAAACAATGCAGGAAAAGTCCTAAATGGAGACCCCAGGCATGAGAGAGGTGAAGGAGCCCCTCCCCTCAGCATCGAGGTTGCCAAAGGAAAAGAGCTTCAGCCTACGTAAGGGTGTCGTGAATTTGTATGTTCAACCTGAAGACAAAGCCGGGCTTCCGGAACACAAGCTTGCACGCTCCCAGAAACATCTGCTCCAAGCATCCTTCGGATGTATTTCACTGTTCTCCACTCTACAGTTAGAGCATTATTTAACTAAATGAATGAGCTGATTTTTGTGGCACTGGAGATTGAGCCTAGGGCCCTGAGCATGCTAAGCAAGTGCTCAGCCACTGAACTGTGTCCCAGGCCTTTTACTTACTTATTTGTTGGTTTGTTTATTTATTTTATTATATATATGTTATATATTTACTTATTTATTGGTTTTTCGAGACAGGGTTTCTCTGTGTAGCTTTGCATCTTTCCTGGATCTCGCTCTGTAGACCAGGCTGGCCTTGAACTCACAGAGATCCACCTGTCTCTGCCTCCCAAGTGCTGGGATTAAAGGTGTGCGCCACCACCGCCCAGCTGTTTATTTTTTATTTTATAAAACTGTAAACAAGATCGTGTAGCCCATTTATTAGCTTTTGTGGCTTTTGTTTTGAGACAGGGTCTCACTATGTAGCCCTGGATGGCCTGAACTTGCTATGTAGACCAGGTTGGCCTTGAATGCATGAGATTCATCTGTCTCTGTTTCCTAAGTGCTGGGATTAATACCACCAGGCCTGGCCTGTGGCCTTGGTTTTAAAGTGTTGGAAATGGAACACAAAGTCTTGTGAATTTTAGGCAAACACCCTGACACTAAGCAACATCCATAACCTGTTAACTCATTCTCATTCTCTCTCTCTCTCTCTCTCTCTCTCTCTCTCTCTCTCTCTCTCTCTCTCTCTGTGTGTGTGTGTGTGCATGGACACACATTGTGTAATGGGTACATGTGTACATGTGTGGAGGCCAGAAGTCAACTTTGGGTTTCCTTCCTCAAGGACGATTGACCTTGTTTTTTGAGACACGCTCTGTCACTATCCTGGAACTTGTCAAACGGTCTAGGCTGGCATCCAGAGACCTCTGCTTCTCTAGGGTGGGGACTGCAGGCACGTGTCAACACTCTTGGTTTCTGATGCAGGTGTTGGGGATCGAACTCAGATCATTAGGCTTGCCTAGCATTTTACTGGCTAAACTATCTCCCTGGCATCTCATTCTTTAGCATGTTATTTCCAGGGGCTGCATGAATGTCTACAGTTCCAGATACATCACTTCTGTTTCTTGGGGTCTCTGTGTACATGGTGGGTCCCACCCTTTGTGGGATAACGATCAAAGTGAGTCTGAATTCGTGTACTCTGCAAGAGCTTTTCTGGTCCTCCCTTGCCCTTTCCTCCTTCCCCCTGCTTTCTCACATACCTAGAGAAAAACTAACCTAGACTAGAGATCAGCATCACTGTGGCTAAGCTTTGCTGCCCTCAGGCATCTTGCAGCCTAACGGCAGAAGCTGTGAAGGTGCCTATGCCAGTCAGCTGTCCATCCCTGTGACATGGCACAGGAGACAAAGAATGGCGAGAGGA